AGCATATGTCTTGCACTCTCGAAGAAAGCTGTAAACAAATCTTTGTGCATCATGTCTCAGTAATGCAACCAAATCATTTTCATTGGAGTTCAGAGAAACAATAGTTGCACAAAAAGGAAATGGGGAAAGGGGGGAGGGGGTGGGAATTGTAAATCTAAACCATACAGTGCACCATCTAACTTTTGAGACTTACTTCATGGTGCGCAGATATATATATATATATATATATTGTAGCATTATTGATTGCGCACAATTTTCATCTCCAATGTTCTATTTGTATCAATGTAGTCACCAAAAGTTCAAATTTGTTTAAATGAACCTTGCCCCTAAATCTAATGGCATAACAAATTATTGATTGAACCAAAAAAAAATTGGGTTTTAATATGCTTTTTTTTTCCCCTTTTTTTTTTCTTTTTTTTTAAAATTCTCAATGTATGAGCTCTATGTCAATTTATTGGATTAAAATCATCTCCATTACATGATAAGGATGAAAATCAATGTCCATTACAATGTATGAGCTCTATGTCAATTTATTGGATTAAACTCATCTCCATTACATGATAAGGATGAAAATCAATGTCCATTACAATGCATGAGGTTACGATGTGATTTTAGTCCCATTTTAAACATGAAAAATGTTTGAGGGCCCTAATTCTGTGGCTCAAATGTGGCTCAAATGGCTAAAACGACGTCGTTTTGGCAATTTTGATGTTGTTTTGTACTCAAAACGACGTCGTTTTAGCCATTTGAGCCACATTTGAGCCACAAAATTTGGGCCCTCTACCATTGCTGTTTAAACATTCATCTATGTATTAGGAACTAAAATAAGACAAGCCAAAATAGTGACCACAAAAACAGATTTTAAATGTCAAAAACATTTTCAGTTTCAATCGTGATTTTAAATGGCATTAGAGAGTTCAAATCATCCAAACACACATTTTGTATTTTAAAGACTACATTGATGTAATTAATCTAAAAAATTGCAAATAATAATAAAAAATAAAAACTAGATCACTTGAAAAATATGATTAAATGAAAAAGGGTAAATTTCACTAATCTCCGTTGAGATTTGAAAAAATAAAAAAACATAAAATAAGATAAGAATAACTAAAGGAATCATTGTACTTATCAATAAGCTCGTCTTGAGGAGATTTAAACACTAAAACATCAAATTTCAAACGGCTTAGTGGCTTGTTTGGTAGAGGTTAAAATTAGGCTTTTCAAGCTAAAATTTATAAAAATAAAATAAAATAAATTAAAATAGTTAATAAGACAAAATATCACATTAAATTCATAATTTTTTTTTTCATAAATATCACATCTAACTATAAAAAAATCTAATTATTTTTTCAAACATAAAAATTTTAACCTATAAAAATAATCAAAAATTAAAATAATCTATTTAAATAATTAACTTTCCAAACAAGACGGGTGTGTGATGGTGGCTCATTTATTTCGCATCAACTTCTCTCAAAACTAGGCATCCGAATGAAGGGAGGTTGCAAAAAGCACCTTCCTTGAACAAACTGAAAATGAGAAGCCACCTTCACGAACTACCAGTATCTTCTTCTTCTCTCTCTTACTGTGTAAGTGACGGCAAGATGACTAGTCTGTATAAATAATGAAAAATTGATGAGACCACTAATTAGAACTATCATTAATGATGTGGTAGTAGATTCATCATGAATAATTTGATATTTTGGCTTTAGTGTTGTATTTTTTTTTTTTTTTTTATTGAGTGCCGTGTCATTAGTGATCTTTTTAGAGCTCCAAAATTAGTGATCTCTATCATTGTTGTATATATAATACATCCTTTTAATTTGAAAGTTTTAAAAAAGTATTAATGATATGAAAATTTTTAAATAAAAAAAAATTAAAGTCAAAATATCACATTACATGATATTTACACACCAATTAAAATTATTCAGTGTATTTTGTTTCAGTTTTCTAAATTTAATTTTTTGAAAACTGAGTTTTTTATTTTTTATGTTTTTTTGTTTTTAGTGAATATTTTTTAAATTTTAAGTAATTTTTTTACCTTTTTAGATGCATTTTATTTAAATGTATCTAAATAGCAAAATATTTGTGAAAAAATATTTTAAAAAATTAATAAATATACAAAATATGAAAATGTACTAAATTTTTATATTTTTTGGTATTTAGTATATTTTTTTAAAAAAAATTCACAAATATTATTCTTTTTAAGTGTGTTTATGTTAGGTGTGTCTAAAAAAAAATTTAAAAATTACTTAAAATATTTAAAAAATTCATTAAAAACATTAAAATATGAAAAATAAAAAAATAAAATTATTTTAAAATTATTTTTTAAAAACTAAAACCGAACAAATTGATTAAAACTCTTAATTTAGAACTCTCAATTTTTTTTTCGTTGCGTATATTATTTTCTTTCGTAGAGGATAGAAGATAAAGAGCCAGACGTTCAAAATTCCAACATCTAGTATTACTCCAACTTCGAAGGAAAACAAAGTAGGGGGAGGGGCAAGACTAGGAATATAATAGGTAGGGTATTATCAGTATTTAGGTAAAAAAAATTTATTTAATCAATAACGTCAATTTTATTATTTTAAATATTGATATAAATTATTTTTTTAATTTATCATATAGTTATTTCTCACTGGGGGTCGGACCCCAGCGGGGGTAGGAAGCATTAATCATAGTTTAGTATTACTCCAACTTCGAAGGACAACAAAGTAGGGGGAGGGGCAAGACTAGGAATATAATAGGTAGGGTATTATCAGTATTTAGGTAAAAAAAAATTATTTAATCAATAACGTCAATTTTATTATTTTAAATATTGATATAAATTATTTTTTTAATTTATCATATAGTTATTTTAAGTAAATTTAGAAATTTAAATTGTAAATCTTTAACATTACTTATAACTTATAAATACTTATTTTGAAAAGTAGATTAAAAATTAATTTTTTTTTAAAAAACGTTTAAAAAGATAAAGAGATCATGTGATTTAAAAAAATTAAAAAATTAATATGACTTAAAAAAAGTCAAAAAAACTAACATTTTGACTTTTTTTTCAATTGCCAAAATAGGCAAAAATAATAACAAAATAAAAAAGAGCAAAATACTAATAAATCCAAAATACGATCTTGTGAACGATTTAATCCTCTATTTTTTCTTATGAACCCAAAAGTAACGTTAAAATGAAAAGGGTTTCTCTAAAAGTAAAATTACACATTTGGGCAATCTGCACTAGAGAAGTTTTGGATTTTCCTTTCTGAAACAAATCTCACATTATGAACAAGAATGTAACACTTCAATGTAATACTCCAATAACGTAACACTTCAATGTAATACTCCAATAATGTAACACTTTAATGTAACACAGTAAAAAACTTTTTAGTGTACTTTTTCTAAACGTAACAACATAACACTCTAAACTTTTTCCAAACGTAACACTCCATTGTAACACACTCTAATATACACACAAAAGAACTCTTTACTGTACTTTTCCCAAACGTAACACTTCAATCAATGTAATCCCAAACGTAACACTCCAATGTAATATACAAAAAAAAAAAAAAAAAAAAAACTCTTTAGTGTACTCTTTTCAAACGTAACACTCCAATCAATCTAATGTCAAACGTAATACTCCAATGTAATACATAAAAATACTAAAAAATTCCTTAGTATACTTTTCCAAGCGTAGCACTCACAGTTTAAAATTATACATTTGCCCAAAACTTACTGCGGAATTTTTGCACTCCTTTTCGAATGGTTTGAAGAATCTCACATCCTTTTTTTGAAGTGTTACGTTTGGAAAAAATAGACTAAAGAGTTTTTTTGAGTGCTGCGTTGAAGTGTTACACTAAGCAATTTTTTGTTTTTGGAGTATTAAGTTTGAAAAAAATATATTAAGAATTTTTTTTGAAATCTTACATTGGAATGTTACACTAAGGAGTTTTTTTTAGAGTGTTACATTTGAATGTTACGTTTGGAAATATATATATATATTAACGAGTTTTTTTGAAATCTTACATTTGAGTGTTACGTTTGAAAAAAATGTACTAAAGAATTTTTTTTGGAGTGTTACATTTAAAAAAAGTATATTAAGGAGTTCTTTTGAAATCTTACATTTGAGTGTTACACTAAGAAAATTTTTTTGAAGTGTTTCATTTGAATATTACGTTTGGAAAAAAATATACTAAGAAGTTTTTTTTTAGTCTTACATTGAAGTGTTACGTTTGAGTGTTACATTGGAGTGTTACAATTTAAATTATACGTTTGTCCAAAACTCACTAACGCTTCGTTTGGAAAATGGGTTGGCTTTTTGACTTTTTTGGTTATTTTAGCCTAGGGCTAAAAAGTTTGGTTTGGGAAGATCTCTTTTGATTTTTTTGACTTTTTTAACTTTTTTGTCAGAGGAGGAATGTAATGATTATGGGTTAGACGTGATATTTTATCTTATTGGGTTAAAAAGCTTATTTTATTTTTTGTGGCTAAAATAGCCAAAAAAAGCCTCAAGATTGGCTTCCCAAACGAAGCTTAATGAGTTTTTGTATTCATTTTAAAATATTTGAAAAATCTCATATTTCAAATCATTTGCAGTACTTTCGAAATGTTTGAAAAATCTCACATCTCAAGTTATTCCAAATAAAAAAATATTCTCATATAAAAGTTAATCCCAAATTTAATTCCCATAAATTATATATTTATATTTCTAGCATAAAAAGGAAAAAAAAATTAATAGAAATAAGAATATAACCGTAAATTTAATTTTTAAATAATATATTAAATCACCTTTTTCAAAATTAATAGGACTAATTAGTTTATAAGAAAACTTTTGGTAGTAAACGAATTACCATTCCTGAAAATAAAATTTATAGGTAAATTTTTTTAAAAAAAATAAAAATAAAAAACTTGGAGCGGTGGATTCGGTACCCGTAACCCACCCACCCACAAATCCATGATGGTTAAGGCGGTTGGATTCCTTTTGGCGCCATATGAGAGAGAGTCTCCATGTGTTGTCACTGTCTCCACACGGACACACCCTTTTCGGGAATCTGATGTTCATCTTCCCTCCCTCTCTCTCTCCTTCGACATCTGTCCCCATGAAATTCACCACCTCACTCCACGTGTCCTTCCCCATTAACAGACTCTCAAACCCCTCTCTTCTTCTTCTTCTTCTTCTTCTCCCCCAACCCTAACAGCCACTGTGTTTTTTGTTCGTTTGTTTTTGACAACAACAGAAACAGAACCGATTCAGATTTATAATTCCATAATTGCCCTCCTCCTCTGGTTGTGAAGTAGGTGAAAGAGAAAAGGGAATGGAGGTTCCTGTAGGCTTCATATCCAAGCTCTGGAGCTTCCTCTCCTTTCTTCCCTTCTTCTTCTCCCTCCTCCTCCTCGGCCTTCTCAAAGGTATTTTTATTATTTTTACATTTATATATTTTTTCTCTTAAAAGTAAAACTGTGTATATCATGTGCCCCTTATAACTAAAAAAAATTATAACCAAATATCTCAAAATAAAAGAAGAAAATGGGGTGCATATGGTATGTAGTTCTTTAGAAGATGAACCCCACCAATCCAAAGTTGAGTTAATTATAGCTTGTCTGATAACAATCAAAAATCAAAATATTACTATAAGTATGAATGTCTGTTTGTGTGAACTTTATGCAGATTGCACTTGACATGTTTGTGTAATTTACAATAGATGGGATGGGTTAGTACACAAAACCCACTCTGTTTTATGTGTGTTTCTATTTAAGATAAGGACAGAGGTTGGAAATTAATCTTTGGGCTGTGGCCACACTAACATTGTGTTTGGTTGGAGGATTTGAAGAGGTATTTGGAAAGGGAAAGGGAAAAGTTTGGTGAAATGTGAATAAAATATACCTACATTTCACATAGTTTCACACACCTTTTCCCTTTCCCTTTCCCTTTCCAAATCCCTCCCAAAATCACTCAACCAAACATAGCATAAGGGAATTTCTGAACACACACCTTGAATCCAGTGGTGGAGCCAGGATTTTGGGTCAGAGAGGGGGAAACATTAAGTTGAAATCTTAGCAACAATTACAATCCAACTTAACACAATTTTCATTTAGTGGTAGGACTAAAAATCAGTGTGATACAGAAGTTATATTTAGAGATGTGCTCGAGTTAACAGATTTTTTTTTTTTTTGGTTATTAATTTGATTTTATGTATGATGATCATCATGGTTTAGAAAGCGATCGCATGTCTTGCAATAGATGAGAACGAAAATATATCAAGATGTACACACAAAAAGAGATATAGAGAAGGATAGAGAAAGCAAATGAGAGAGATGGTTAATAAATAATATATAGAGGGCTACTATATATCACTTGTTTTTTTCACCCTCATATTACATTGCAAAATATTATTTGCTATCATTAATTCTGTAATTATCAGGAACCAATCATGAGTATAAATATTACAGGTGATATAAAACAAAATCAATGACATATAGCATTTCTTTAATATAAAATTTATAAGAGAATATTTTAACGAAAATTAATATTTACAGTGACAAAGTAGGCAGATTTTGTTGAAGAGAAAAAGTTTTTTAAAAAAAAAAGTAAGAGGCATACTTGAAACGTTAGAGTAAATTTTATTTTATTTTATTTTTTTATTATTACAGGTAAAAGTATAATTTTCAAAATGTTAAGGACCACATGACCCGCTGGCCCTCATGTGCCTCCAAAACATAAACCAACTCACTTTCATTTGACCACAAGTAAACTCCATCGCCTATTCAAGTTAGTCTAGGATACTCTGCAATAATCCATCCTTCCAATAATCTTGCAATGATGGTTAAGAGCCAAAAACACAATCATTGGGTGGTTCAAGGGTAGTTTAACCTTGTAATCTGAATCTGTTTTTGCTCTTAACCCACCATTGCAAGACTATTGCAAAGGATCCTACTCTATTCAAGTTAGGACCAACACCACTTTAGGCCTTGGGTGTGTACAGTTATACACTTACAGCCTTAATTTTTCATATGTTAGCATTGGTTGATTTGGTTGTGTTTTGTTGGACAGGGGTGATCATCTGTCCAGTGGTGGGAATCGTTATTGGGTTTGGAAATTCTGCAGTGATTATTGGCCTTTGGCCAGCTCACTTCATCTGGACTTGCTACTGTGTGGCAAAGTATGCTTCCATTTTCCACTAATATCCTTACTAAATACAAAATTATGTTTTTGTTCTGTTATGTTCTCATGTTCTGTGTTCCTTCTTTGTTTTCCCTTGGCCACGTGCCTATTTCAGAACCAAAAGGCTTGGATTGGTCTTGAAGATTTTGGTACTGGTGTTGCTGCCAGTGCCTCTACTCCTTTGGCCAATCTTCGGAATTGTGGGTAGCATTTTGGGTGGCATTTTATATGGGTTCTTTGCTCCTCTAATTGCAACTTTTGAGACTGTTGGAGAAAATGTCACTGACAAATGCTTCCGTTGCTTTGTTGTGAGTCGCTCACCTTCCCCCACTTTGTTTTAAGTTTCTCCTTGACCTATGCTCTGTATGATTCTTAGAAGTGATTTTCTGTTTCACATTCCTGCGTAAAGACATTACATACTGAAGTTTGTCTTGATTGGCAGTTGATTTGTCAGAGGTTCTACATGCCCTTCATTGTTTAATGGACCTGTTTGGAATTGATGATAATTCAGTGCCAGTATTTTTTGCTATCAACATTTATGATGGCAACTTTTTTATGTTCATTTTGCTATTTTTTTACAAACTAACTTCAAATCTGCTGTAGTTTTTTTTTTTTTTTTTTTTCTTGTTAAATTCTTCTGTTTGAATAACCTGAACAGATTGTTGATCTGATGTTGAGATATAACCCAATTTTTTTAATGGAAAATGACCATATTGTTTACTTTTCAGCATTCTTGCTCTCCCCTACACTATCTCACTCTTTATGTTAATGTTAAAATCACTCGTAACCTTAATTTCATCACCATCCTCAAACTTTATGATATATATGTCCTAATTATTCAGTTTCAAATGATTTCCCACCCGGACTGTTTTAAGATTCCATAATTATCATCATTCATCCAACTTTACTATATATTAACAAATTTGTGCAAAATGTACCAAAGGGTTGTTCTGTCCATTCCAACTGTTAGCCTAATCCAAATAACTAGGTCTCAGCATTTTTGCATATGACTTGTATTTTGCATAATCGTCAGGACGGTTGTTGGCCAACTATTAAGGGAAGCTGCATGGTGGTACGGGATTTTACTGATTTTTGTTTCCACTCATATTTCTCCTACATGGATGAACTGAGTGAGGAGATGCCTGCAGATGAGAAGCCTATTGACATAAGGTGAGGAACTTTCCTATTCAATTTTTTTGTGACCCAATGACAAATGTTTTTTTCCCTTCTTTTTGGATGCTTAATTTATGTCCTGTTTTGTCTTTTTAGGTTATCAAAACTACCAAGCTGTTTGTTGGTTATCCCGCTTGCCTTGACAGTGGATGTACCTTTTATTACAGCTGTTGCTCTTTGGAAAGGCCCTTACATGCTCTTCAAAGGGTGGAAGAGGCTTTTGGAAGACTTAATTGGAAGAGAAGGACCATTCTTGGAAACAGTATGTGTCCCATTTGCTGCTCTTGCCATCATGTTATGGCCTCTAGCTGTGGTGGGAGCTGTGATAAGTGCTTTCTTCGCCAGCTTCTTTCTTGGATTATACAGTGCAGTAATCGTCCAGCAGGTCTGCCTGAACTTTTATTTCCAATTAATTTTTTACAAGTTTGAGGTAGGACTTAAACAGCTAAAGTGAGATTCATATCTCCCAGGAAGACTCATTACAGATGGGACTTGCATACATTATGGCGGTTATTTCACTGTTTGATGAATATACAAATGATTTACTTTATTTGAGGGAGGGGTCCTGCTTTCCCAGGTACCATTTGGGATTCAATATTCTTTTCTTTATAAATGTGGTTTTTGTTATTCCTCCATTTTTAAGTTAGGTCATGAACATAGTAAAATAGTCAATGATTTTGATTCTGAGAAATCCTTCCGGCAGCCAGGCCAAGGTACCGTCGGAACATGAGCCCTGGTGTTAGAAATGGCCAACAGAATGGGAGAGAAGGCTCATACAATTCAAAGCTGGTTTCACAACAATCAAGGACATTAAAGTGGACTATCCAACAATCCACGCCTATACAGGTGAGGGACATCTTATATCCACTTTCACACTAATATCTAACTTTTGAATTGTTGGGGGTTCATCCTTAAAATGTGACAGGTATGGGATTGGCTGTTTAAATCCTGTGAGGAGAATGGTAGAATCCTGCTTCGTGAGGGTCTGATTGATGTCAAAGACTTGGAGGAATGCATTGCGAAGGGAGTTTGTAAAAAGTTGGGCATTAAACTACCTGCTTGGTCCATTTTAGAGCGTCTTCTGGCATCAGTGAAGTCAGATTCATCTGGTTTAGTAATTTGTACGCCCCTATTCTGACTTCATTCTTTGCATGACATATGTTAAATTGAAGTTTTAATTATGATTTTCTTGTTGACATTTTTAGCTGACGATACGGAATTGATAATGACTAACTGGCCAAAGGACAAAGTATTTCAGTGGTTCATTGGTCCACTATTGATAATTAAGGAGCAAATAAAGGGACTTCATTTAGATGAAAATGAAGAAATCTGCCTGAAAAAGCTGATTATGCAGTGCAAGAATGACAAACCAGAAGAGTGGGATGACACTGATTTTCCGTCCCGTGACAATGTCAGAAGAGCACAGTTGCAAGCCATTCTTAGGAGGTGAGTAATTTTTTATTAGTTCTATTGTCTCTCAATCATCTTAAAACCAGTTTTAGGTGCTCTCAACTAACCATCATTTGTTTCATAACTACCCCATTTAATTTGAGTAATAGAGGTGACTGCCCTCTTTAGCTCACTTGTAGATCTGTTCATTCTTATGCTCTTTAAACACTTGACAAGAATACAATCAAGGCCCAAATGAACAAAGTAGTGACTTTAGGCCCCTGATTTTGCAATGCCTCATCTCCAACTCTTTTTTTACCAATGCCCAAAAAATGTACTACTTATCTAGAAACCCAGAAAATTTCTTCTTATCTAGATATCCAAAATGAAAAAACTTTGCTGTCAAAGGCTCTCAATCATTAAACACTGAAAGCACATTTCTTGTCCAAATACCTTTAATAAACCTCTTTTTTTAAGTGCCCATGAAATAAAGGCTCCAATCATAGAGGCTAAAAAAAATCTTTTATGTCTACAGGTCTGTAAAAAAAAAATTCTCATACAAAGGCCCAACTTAAAAAAATAAACGTTCTCTGAAGGCCCCGATAGTAAGGGTTATAGTTAATAGATGAAACCTATAATAATCCCCATCTTTGACCAAAATTAATTTTGCATGTTCAAGATGCATCTACAACAATAAACAACTTCATTCTTTCGCATCTAAAAAAATGGTTGGCTTTACTGCCTTTGTGGAGCCTTCAAAGTTGTAACTTGTAAGTAGGCATGATTTCTTGTACGATTCTTTTTCTCAGATCCCTCCAAACCATTTTCTTTCTCCTTCCTGCATTTAGATGCTTCAGGTGCTATAAACCAAACAGAGCAGTTAATAATGTGGCTGACAGAGTATGAGTGTGTTAGTTCGAAATATTTTTACATTTCAGACACTTCTCTTGCTAATTTACACCTACTCAGATACAAACTTGTGAAAAACTGTCTAGCTAATGTCTGCTAGTTATCATATCATATGTAATTATAGACAAAGAAATGACTTGATCCTCTACATATTAAACCATGCAGAACCTGCACTGGATGACTTCTAAATCATTGCTTGATATGAATTAATTTGGTTCTTAAATTGAATTCCATGCAACATTTACACAGTATCTGTGACAGGCTGCAGGGAATTGTTGGTTCCATGTCCCGGATACCAACCTTCAGACGGCGTTTCAAGAATTTGGTGAAGATGTTGTGCATAGACGCGATTGAGGCCGGTATTTTAGCCAATGATTTAGGAGGAAGACTGAAAACCAGACATGGTGACAAAAACTTTCGAGAGACAAGCGAGCACAAGGTAGACGATGGGAATGTAGTATGACTGTACATTTCAAGTAGAATTTTCCATGAAATATAATTGTGGTTCCTGGTGAATAGTTTCTTAATCCAGTTTCATCATCCAGTGTAGTTTAGGCGAAAAGATTTGTCTAGTTTTGAGTGCAGAAAAGGGTAGTTCAAATGATATTTGAAATCAAACAGATGCTCAGTATGGATATGATGATATGTTATAAACATTTCTAGAAATGAGAGTAATGTATAGCCTGTGATAGTGTGATTGCTTTGTGCCTTTCATGGGCTAACAAGGCTGTGTTTGGTTGCGCGACTTGCTTTATGGGTTAGCCAGGTGAAATTGTAAAAGTGAAGAAACAGAGATGGTAGTTTTTATTACTGGTTCAAATCTGCAAAATAGATTTTGGACGCTTCAATCTAAATGCTTCCAGGATAAGGTAGCCATAAAACGAATTGCATTGCTCACACAATGGAGTTCTTCATTTGGTACTAGGTAAATGATTTTTTTAAATCTCTCTCCTGTTACAACCATGGCTGTGAAATGTAAAACGAACTGAGCTCAATTATTTGAGTTTAATTCATGTTCAGCTCAATAAAAATTTGTCAAATATTAATTTGTTATGTAAACAAGTCAGAACAAATTTTAAAGCTCGTTGAGTTTTTAAGTTAAATTTAAACATATTATTTATTTGACTTGATAAGTTTATATGCTCTATAATAAATTAAGTTACTCTACTCAATTCAATTAAAGTTTGTTTAAGATTAACTCGTTAGATAAATAAGTCAAATGGGCAAGTTAAGATCAACTGCTTGGGTCATAGAGCTATTTCATTCATGCTTACACAGATGGTTCAGAGCAGGGAGGGTGTTTTTTTTTTTTCCCCTAAAAAAGTATTGGTTAAATTATATTAATCACTCTTAAAGTTTTAAAAAATAGATTTAGTCTTCTAATTAAGTTAAATATTTTTATAATTTTAATTTACATAATATTTTAACTTATTTGGTTTTTTCTTTTCTTTTCTTCTTAAAAGAGTATAGGGTAAATTATATTAATCACCCTTACAGTTTAAAAAAATAGATTTAGTCTTCTAATTACGTTAAATATTTTTATAATTTTAATTTACATAATATTTTTTACTTATTTTTCCATCATTGAATTTAATAATAATAATAATCTAAATGGTATGTTATAACTTTTGCAAGATGGCTTGAAATGGGTAGCATTTTATTTTATTTTTTGGGGGTTAAATTCACTCCAAACCTCATAAACTACAACAAAGCAAAAAACCTCAAAACCGTTTGAACTTAAGGAACCACCCCAAAAAAGAAAATAAACAGTACATATTGTAGAACCTGTGCTCATTTTAAGCCCTCTTTTTCGGGCTTCTCTTCCCCCAACAGCCTCTTGGTGGAGATTTTTCCTCCACAAAAACAAAAAACTTTCATTACAACTTCTCTCTCTCTCTCTCTCTCTCTCTCCTTGTTGAAATTCTTCAACAATTACTTTTTCTTTTTCTTTTTTCGGGTGAAATTTGCAAACCCAACATATGATGGTTTCTCTGGCAACTCAACCCATCTGATCGTTTCATGACACCATTTTGAAATCTTGAGAACAAAATCTCAGGTGTGTTTGGTTTGTGTTTTAAGATAAATTTTCAAAAAAAAAAATTTGGGAAAAGAGTATAAAAATTTTTTTGATTTATTTGGTTATATATTTTGAAAATAGTTTTGGAGTTTGAATATTTTGTTGTAGTTGAATAAATGTATGTGAGAGAGAAAAAGTGATTGAGAATGAAAGAGGAGAAAGAAAAAGTAATTGATTGATGTATAGAAGAGAGAGAGAGATTTTGAAGAAGAAAAAATCAAAAAATTTGATCCAAACAAAATTTTAAAATTTTTTCTCTAAAATTATATCTTAAAATACAAATCAAACAATCTCTCAATCAACAATGCTTTGGTGTGACTCCATATAGCTTGTTCAGCTCTCAATGGACATCCTGAATACTTTGTTTCCAAGGTAATGGACCACCTTATTTATCTTATGATCAATTAGTTACCAAGTTTTTTTTTTTTTTTTTTTTTTTGTCTCACTCTGATTTTTGTCCTTTTTTTTCATGTAAAATTATAGGATCGCCGATCCCATAAATGTATTGAAGAAAGATAAAATTGAATCGATGTATCGAATTACTTCCTCAAGAACCCAATTGATGTCATACACGCAACCACCACCTCTAGCGGAGAAGTTGACAGACGATCTCGTAACACAAAAAACCGCTCAGAGCACCGTCACTTGCGTGTACCAGACCCATATCGGGGGTTATTGGCGCAATGTTACAGTTTTATGGTGCAAGAACATCATGAACCATTCGGTCACCATTTCTGTCGATAGTGTAGAAAGCGATTATCATAATTCTTGCAAGATTGACCTCAAGCCTTGGCACTTCTGGAGCAAGAAAGGGTACAAGATCTTTGACGTCGATGGGAACCAGGTTGAGGTTTATTGGGATCTCCGCTCTGCTAAATTCTCTGGTGGTCCGGAACCCTGTTCGGATTTCTATGTTGCTCTTGTTTCAGAGGAAGAGGTTGTGTTGTTGCTAGGGGATTATAGCAAGAAGGTTTACAAGAGAACCAAATCAAAACCAGCCCTTGTTGAGGCTGTGTTGTTTTACAAGAAAGAGCATGTGTTTAACAAGAAATGTTTCTCAACGAGAGCAAGGTTCGATCAGACGGTGAGTGAAGAGCATGAAATCGTCGTCGAGAGTTCGACAGCCGGGCCTAGAGATCCAGAGATGTGGATAAGCATAGATGGGATTGTGGTGATACATATCCGGAACTTGCAGTGGAAATTCAGGGGTAATGAGACCGTCATGGTTAACAAGCTGCCAGTCCAGGTTTTGTGGGATGTGCATGCCTGGCTGTTTTGCATCCCTGGCTCTGGCCATGGCTTGTTCATATTCAAGCCAGGTGCACCAGAATCGGATAGTGACAAAGAGGAGAGCAGCCGAGGTGGTGACAGTGATTGCAGTAGTAGCAACAGCAGGTATTACTCAACTCTCAGCCATTCAAAAGCATCAGAATTCTGCCTTTTTCTGTATGCCTGGAAGCTCGAATGAATCGGTATCCTCATTTGGCAATGGCTCCAGACCTGTACAAACCAGTATCGGTATGTATCCTTGGGGTGTGTATGGATCAAATGGTTGCACCAACACAAGACTACAAAGTGTACAGTATGTTGTGAGAACCAAGAAAGACATTGGCACCACATATTGTAATCAATGCATTGTTGTAATTATTCCCATAGGAATAGAATTGTTTCTCACAGAGTAATAGTGATGGTTCATTGACCCACAAGGGATAAGCACATATCTAAAACATATATATCAAAAAATAAATGTAAAATTCCCAATGAAAAGTAATTCTCAATGCCATTAACCACTGAATGTTAAAACAAGTCAATCCTAACAATAAATTTATATCAATCAAGTGATTGACCTGAAGAAAATGGAAAATCTATTGACAAGCATACATTTTTGTCACCTTCCAAAACATTTTAGTATCGATGATGTGAGTGTTGAAGAAAGAAACTTCAATCCAATAGATCCTCCAGGGAAGTAGGAAATAGCATAGTATGACAGGGCAAGGACCTAGCAAAACAGAATGGCATCAATTTGAATTAAAATAACACTCTGCTTTGATGCATTAGGAAAAAAAGGCAGATTTTTATAAAAAAATTGAAAATCAAAATTCATCATTAAGAGTATGAATTATTATTATTATTATTATTATTATTATTATTATTATTATTATTATTATTTGTTTTGATAACTGGGTGTACAGCCAGTTTGTGCGCATCTCGACTAATCCCAGGACCCTGAAGTTAATAACCAGGTAAACCTCCAGTGGCCCCTTGGGTGACTCGAACTCGAGATGTTGGATTTTATCCTCAAGCCTTTACCACTTGGCCAACTCCTTGGGGTTAGCAAGAGTATGAATCATCATAGTAGTGACAATGCCATGTATCTTTATTTAAATGATGTAGGATTTCACATACAATAAAACTACTTACACCAACTTTGTACACAACTTTGTGTGCACAACCACACCAAATCCAACATGAATGTGGTCCACATGTGAGCAAAGTTATGCAAAAAGAGGCAAGTAGAGATAGGTAATGCATACAGTAAAAGAGGGATTGATACCTGTAACACGGAAAAGAGCACAGAAAGAATATAACTGTGAAGCACCATGGAAACATAAATCGTACCCACCATGGTGCCAATGAATCCCAATGTAAAAGGAAGCCTCTGGAGAGGGGGAAAGAAAGAACATAAAATGAGTGCAAAACAACGAAAACAATAATATACATGCAAAAGAAAAGGATGAATTTAAATTCTCAGACAGGTGGAACCAACACTTAAATTAATCATCTCTTTACAAAAAAAGGCAAAAGAATGCTACTTAACAAGGAGAATTTAGAGTACAGTTGTGATACCTCTTTTGATGACATGTGTTCAAACTGATTCTTAGGACCTTTGAGGGCAAAGAATGAGCCAATAATCAAGGCACATCCAATAGTAAAGCAGAGAGCAAATTTCTGAGGCATTAGCACCATGACAGGAAGGAACATGGTGAATGCGATGAAGACAAAAAACACTCCCGTCGCAAGGAGTAAACCAAAGTACATCAGAGATTTTCCAGAAGGGACACTGCTTGTGGCAGACTGAAAGTTCCCTGGTATATCCCTCACTCCTTTCGAAACCCTATAAAAAGATCAAATGAGGTTTTTTATTTATTTGTTATTATTTATCATCAATGCATGAAAAAAAAATCAATAGCAGTTAGCAACAAAAAGATAAAATGAATCTCACAAATGATTGATGTTTCAATTCCCCCATATACAATGACAATGCCTACAGCCATCGGCGATCATAGAGTTCTATTGACTGAAAATTGCCTTTCCTACTTTCAGTTTTCATTTTCTCTTCTAAAAGACCTAAAATACAATTTGGGTCGAGCTCAGGCAAGTCCTATAGTTTTGGCATGAGATGTTAAAAATATACCAGGGAAAAAAACCGTCCCTAAACTATCTGCATAAGCCGAAACAGATCACTTTAACCAACATATATAATTAATAGCAAAAGGCCACAACAACCAATTACTTCCGACACAGACATTCCTGAAACATCTAACATGACTATAACCCAGATCTCTCTCTTAGGGATCACACCATACAGAGAATGGGCATCGAAATAAAAGTTTCACCGTGCATCGGATCAGCAACCTTATAATACGCTTCCATCCACTTAGTTTTGAACTTTATCTCAACTTCATTCTACTTCATCAACCAATCACTTCTTACACCTACATTCCTGAAATATCCAACCCTGACTATAACTCAGATCTACCTCTCAGGGATCACACCATACAGTGATTGGGCGTCGGAATAAAAGTTTCGGAAAATTATTCAATAATCCGGGAGTACCACGTGTCCATACTCCCTAATCAATTATCATTCAACATGCCTCCTCTCATGTTGCTCAATCACCCAACATAATATCCCACCTATTCACCTTATCCACCAATCACAATGTTATGGAATACCACGTGTCTATTGTCCCGGATTACTAAATAATTACCCAAAAGTTTCACCGTGCATCAGATCAGCAAGCTTATCATACACTTCCATCTACTTAAAGTCTTGAACTTTACCTCTAATTCAGCTCAATTTTTTGTCATTAGCTATTTAAATTGATTTAAAGAGCTGTATAATTTCCACCACTATTGGATTACAAAACCTCCACATACCAATTCCAGTACAACAAAATAACGGTCAAAATTTCAATTACAAGTTCAATTTCTGTGTACACGAGTTAGATCCGAAGGTATAACTATAACATACACCATCGATGAATACAATCTCACATGCACATACTTACACATATGCACAAATACAGAAACAGTAAAATTGAGACCTAAATTTGGGAAAAATTAATGGCAATTGCGATAATTGAGGTGTTGTTGCTTACTGGCTGAAAGTGCCGGAGACCTTATCGTTGGCGGTCCTGACGGCGGCCTCGAGATCGAAGCCTAAGCTGGAATCAGCGTCTTCGGACTCTTTGGCGGCTGCGTAAGCGTTCCAATCGGCGAGCAAAGACGACGACGATTTCTGCAGATCGTTGCTGCTACTGGGGAATGTTTTTGTTGTTTTATTTTATTTAAATTTTGTCCTTCACAAATTTTACAAATTTCAATTACATTTTGATCCTAACATTATTTACAATGTTGCTTCAGTTGCCTTCATTATTGCTTATAAAATGTTGTTGTCAGGTGTATTTTATTGCTTTAGAATTGCCAATTACATTATTGCTTTACTTGCCTTCCCACCCTCTGTTTCTTCCCAATCCGACAAAGGCAATGGAAACTAAATCTATTCTACTTAGCTTCCTTTGCTATTTTTTAAATAGAACTCCGTGGTGATTGTTCTTGAATATATGTGTGAGTCTATAAAGTTGGATCAGACTGAGTTTTCTCAATTGTGTAGTTGTATAAATTATAATTATAATTTGGTCCTAACATTATTTATACCGTGCCTTCAGGCACGGGCATACGCTAGTAACAATACAAATGGAAAGCTTTTATAATTACTAAAATGTGGATTTTCTTTTTCTTTTTCTTTTTTTTTTATATTATCTAAAGGCTTTCTCTCTACCCAAAACCTTACCTCGACAACAGCCCTCCTTTACCCTTTTCGACACCAGCAACCTCTGTTCAACCTTCTCCCGATATTGTCATCCCTTCTCTCACCTCCCCCATGTTTGTCAGCTCTCTTACCTCACTTCTTCTCTCACCTTCTTATCCCTCATTCCTTCTTGCAATAAGTCTTTGGCACAATGCTCTAGCTAAAATTGCAAAGAACTTGACATTTGATCTCTATCAATCAAGATTTGTTTTTCCCACCAAATATAGTTTTCATTAATGGAGTTATTATTTTTTGTTAGAAAAATGATCCGTTGCTCGAAATTGTTTGCTCGAAATTGGCCCGAATATCCAAAACGATGTCGTTTTGGGTATTTTTTTTTTTTTCCTTTTCTTTCTTTCTCTGTGCGTTCAAATACAAAGAGAAGAGACGATGGGAGAGACAGAGAGAGAGAGAAGAGGAGAAGGAAGATTGGCGGCCCTCTGTTTTCTCTAATTTTTTATTTTTATTTTTTTTTCCCCCTTTCCAGTAGATCTGGATTTGAGGATGAAAGAGAATTTTTTTTTTTTTTTTTTTTTTGTTAAGATGATAGTATTTTATTAGAAGTTTATTTTACTTGAAGGTCTAGTTTATTTATTTTTTTTTTCAGGTTCCCAACCATTTTTTTTTTTTTTAAGATTCACAACTAAAACTAAATATACATTCAATCTTTTTTTTTTTTATTTATTTATTTTTTCAGGTTCACAACCATTTTTTTTTTTTTTTTTAAGATTCAAAACTAAAACTAAATATACTTTCAATTTTTTTTTTTTTTTTTTTTTTTTTTTTTGTTCATGTTGATGAAACCCAGCAGCACAGCAATGTGACAACCCTCACTTCTTATTAGCGTTAAATTGTGTTTAAGCATGATAAGTAATTGATTAGGATGAAATCCTAATTTGTTTGTGTGAGTGTGTTGCTTAGAATGCATTTTTATCTGTTTGTTATTGAATGATCTGTTCATGTTTTAATTTCGAATTGCAAATTAAAAGCCCTACCAGCGACCGAGTCAGAAATTGATTTGTGTTTTATGCTAATTAGGATTTATATGATTTTATGGTAGGTTTAATTAAAATTTGATTTAAAATGATTAAATTAGAATAAATAAAGTTAAATTACATTAGTTTGAATTTATTACACAATTGCCATTGAGTGGATTAATTCTAGGCCATTTATTTAGTCTTGATTTATATGTTGGCACTATCATTTTACCATTTCCTCAAAACCAAACCGTGAGAGAGAGGGAGAATAAGGGAAAATTGAATTCATCTAGAAATTTTGCTTGAAATTAGAGGATTTGAAGAGAACTTGCAAAATTGGGCTACCATACTTAGAGTTTAAGACTTAAGGTAGGAAATTCATTCTCTTGATTATGAATTTAAGTTGTTACATGCATTGTTCATAAAAGTTTCATTGATATTATGTCCAAATTGGTGATTAGAGTTAAGAATTAGCTTAAAGTGTTGATTTGGGAGTGAAATCATGCATGCATGTCCATATCATAGAGTTTGATGTAATTTTTCATGAAATTCCTACATGTATGTTCATATTCTAGCTGTGATCCAAGAATTCACCATGTTTTTGAGTTCAAGCTTGCATTTGATCATGCTTTGGAGCATTGGAATTCATAAGAACTCATGCATGTTATGTTCTTGCATTGTTCTTCAAGTTTTATTAAAAATTGTGTTCAATTGTCACACCCTTGGGCTTGATTTTATAAAAATGATCTTCAAAACATGTTGTAGTATGAGTTTCTAAGTGTTTTCCAGAAAATTGCCCAAAATGATGAGTTTTGGCATGTTTGACTCTTGGTTTGAGCTTTGGAAGCAAATCTGAAAAACTCAGATTTTGGCTTCCACGCTTGAGCGAAGGATTCCACGCTCGAGCGACCAACTTTGTGTTCAGAGCTCTGCTGGTCGCTCGAGCGACGGAATGCTGGCTCGAGCGTAGATTGCAAGCTCTCAGATTTTTGCGTGTGCAGACGCAAGCTCGACCGACGAGACCTACGCTCGAGCGAAAAACTGTGTCTCACGCTCGAGCGAGCATCGAGCGGCGAATTTCAGCAACCAGTACTTTTTGCATTTTTACAGACCGCTCGAGCGAGGGAGTCTACGCTCGAGCGACCTCTCTGTTTTGGTAAGCTCGCTCGAGCGAGACCCCTGTTTTCAGTAAATTTTGAAAAGTGTTTTAAAGTACATTTTTGCATCCTCATTCCATCCTAGGCATTCCTAGGCCATGTTTAAGGCATCTTAATGAGGATAATGTTTTAGAACCACACCAAGTCAAGTTAGGGGCTAAATCATTAATCCCAAGTGTGTAACTTAGTGTGCGTTCGTTCTGCAACTGTATAGGGTTGGCACCCGAGGACGCTGATTAGCCTGCCTATAGCCCAGTAATCTGTGAGTAACAATGTTGTAAAGCTATGTTAAATTATAATTATTTTCTGAATGATTGATTGTACTGCTATCTGAAATGATATTGTTTACTAAATGAATGTTTGTCCTGTTTTTATGAACTGTACTCGTGGCATCCATAGCAACTTACTGTTACTGTTACTACTACTGTACTGTTACAGAGATCTCTGTCAGTTCCAATGTTTAGAACTACTACTATTTACTGTTTACTGTTTTGATGGCCATCAACTGACTGTTCGGTCTATTAAGACCTACTGTGCTATTCTGCTATTGGATGTACCACGTATGATCGCTATGGTTTCTACATGACTGATATGGCATGAAATATGAGCCACTAATTGAATAACTGATCTACTAATGCAAATGACTGTTTTAATCACTGAAAGGACATCCATTCTTAACCCTTTTAGACAATTGTTATTCACTGGGCTTTAACTCACTGTTTATATTTATATGTAGGTGTCCAGTTACCAGACCGGAGCTAAAAGCGTCGAGTTAAGCTCATGTTTTGTCCAGCCAACCGTTGTGCCTCACTTCGAGATTCCGAGTCTGCTCAAGCCAAGGCTGTTTTTTGGGTGCTTCGGATTCACCCTTCTGTCTCTGTTTTGTACTGACTAAATAAGACTTGACTGTACAATTTGGTGAAGAGATTATGTCCTTAACCTGGATGTTATATGCATCTAATGTGTATATATGTTTATGGTTATGAATGTGATTTTGTCCATAAAAGTCTTTTTTCATTCAGATTTTCACAGTTCATTGGACATCTTTTATTTACTGTTTGACTTTCGCCAGCCCCTTTATACTGTATTATTGTCATTACTGTTAAGTAGGCCTTTGGTAATCACGGATTACTGGCCGGTTACGATGCTAAACCCTTAGGGACGGGTTTGGGTCGTGACTGAGTGGTATCAGAGCACGAGTTATACCACACACATGTGTCCAAATGAGCTGTAGGATGTCCTAGAAAAGTAATTAGGGCATTGCATGAGAATAAGAAAGTGTGTGTGGCCATGATATGAATATATGTGCTAATGTGCTTAAGTAAGCAATTTCCTATGTTTATTATTACCGTACTTCATATAGTGAAATAGAGAATGCAAGAAATGCTGATGAATTTGAATCATCTGAAACAAGAATGGCAAGGTTGGAAAGAATGGTTGAACTGTAGACAGAGGCCTTAAGGCAACAACAGAACCAACAGCCCCCACCTCCTCCAGTACAGCCAAAATCGAATATCAATGATGATATAATTTCTTTGACACAGAAGTTCAACAAAATGAAGCCACCAACGTTTCAAGGAGGTCTTGAGCCATTAAAGGCCGAAGCATGGGTTTTAGAAATCGAAAAGTTGTTCGAAGTGTTTCCTTGTTCGGAGGCACACAAGGTATTACTGGCTACCTTTGCCTTACAAGAAGAGGCTAGACGATGTGGATGCTCATTCGTGATACAAATAATGCTATGACTTGGGCTCAGTTTAAAGAAGCCTTTTTTTAGAAATACTTCCCCCAGTGTGTCCGAGACCGCAAGGTAACTGAATTTGAACAGTTTAAGCAAGGCACCATGTCAGTAGCAGAGTATGAATCTAAGTTCACTGAACGCGCCCGATATGCACCACACATGGTTGATACTGATTATAAAAAGGCCAGGAAGTTTGAAGGTGGGCTTAATGTAGAGATACTTAATCGAATCAATGTTTTGAAACTACTCAAATATGTGGATGTCCTTGGCCGAGCAATTATGGCTGAGGCAAATGTCACTGCATTGCAACAGACTAAGACACCGGTGACCGAATGACGGGGTAAGAGGCGAGGCTTCAATTTCAAAAAGGGCCGAAATAACTCATTGAATAAAAACAAAACATAGGGTCAACAAGCAGCTCTAGTCAGGAAAACAGTTCCATACCACCCTGCTCCGAATGTGGCAAAAGACATAAGGGGGTTTGCTACAAAATTTCTGGGGCATGTTACAGGTGTGGCAAGGTGGACCACATGGTCAAAGATTGCCCTTCCACGTCTCAAGGAAATAGTAAGGTTGCAGCTAGCGCCGCAGCATCAACTATTACACCAAAACCCAATCCCAAAGCTACTGGAAAGGAGCCTTTAAGGCAAGGCCGGGTGTTTGCACTCGTACGAAGAGATGTGCAGAACACCGAGACAGTTGTGTCGGGTATACTCTCAATTTGTGCTCAAAATGCCTATATTTTGATTGATTCGGGGTCTATACATTCGTTTGCCGCGCATGCTTTTGCACGAAAGTTAAATAGACCATTGGAACCTATGAATTATTTGTTAGTTGTATCTTCACCTGCTGGGGGATCCATGACTTGTGCTTATGTGTATCCTGCATGTGAGATTGTTATTGGAGATGTACATTTGTATGTTGATTTACTGCCTTTGAATATTGACCATTTCGATATAATTTTGGGAATGGACTGATTAACAAAATATCATGTTTCCATAGACTGTGTAACGAAATAAGTTATTTTTCGTCCACCTGGATTGCTTGAATTTGTATTTAACGGAGTTGGTGTAGTACCTCCCCCATATCTGATTTCGTCCATGAAAGCATTCAAATTAATTAAAAAGGGGTGTAAAGGGTATTTATGTTGCATATTGGCTATACTTGCTGATACTAAAGCTAATGTGGACAGTATTCCTATAGTCAAAGAATTCCTAGATGTTTTTCCAGATGACTTGCCAGGGGATTTGATTGATAGGGAGATTGAATTCGCCATTGAGGTGTTACC